TTTTTTTTTTTTTTTTTTGAGAGGTTTTTGCTATAGGGTGTGTGCACTTGCCAGACGGACAGAGAGATAGAGAAACAGAAAGTGAGAAATCACCCCTGGGGGGGGGATGGCCATGCCACAATCCCTTCTCCTCTCAGGATCTTTGGCACACACGCATATGCGTCCAGCGTGAGTTGTTTTTGTTGTTGTTGTTGTTGTTGTTTTTCTTTGGAGAGGTTTTTGCTATAGGGCGCATGCGCTCGCCAGACAGAGAGAGAGAGACAAAAAGTGAGAAATCACCTACCAGGGGGGATAGCCACACTGCAGTCCCTTCTCCTCCATTCTCCTCTCGGGATCTTGGGCACGCACGCACACGTGCCTGGCGTGAGTTTTAAGCCACCAGGTCTGGGATGCGAACCGCAGTTGACTACATGGGAGTCCAGTGACATAGCCATTACGCTAACTGCTGGTCCCTCCCAGCGTGAGTTTTAAACCACCGGGTCCAGGACGTAAACCACAGTTGACTACATGGGAGTCCAGTGACAGCCATAACGCTAACTGCTGGTCACTCACTCAGTTTTTTAGAGGGAGATAGATGTCACAAATCGCATACCAACCTTTCCAAAGAGTAGATCATGACCCTAATGGATAAATCTAAACAAGTGATTTAATTTTGGTACAATTCTCCTATACTTACTGTGCTATAAAATGAGGATGACTTTTGGACTGAATCTCTTTTAATTTAAATATGTACCTTCTGTCTGTGTTTCCTTTGTTTCCTCTTCATGATCTTTGTTGAATAGATGAGAATACAAAAAAATACGGGGCATCAGTAGCTCTTTTCTAAGTAAGTTTGGGTGCAAGTTACTTGGTAACAGTGCCTAAGTGCCTCAGACCTCATGGTATGTGTCTGAGTTAATAAATGGGTAAGGCATGGCTCCTAACCTCGGGGAGTATGCCCAAAATCAGAGACTCTGTTCAGTGTGTAGGATAATCTCTTTCCTTCTCTCTTCTCCACTATCAATTCTAACTATCTTTCAAGATCTAGTTCAATCCTCAAGCCTTTTATAAAATCTTTGCCAGCTCAAACTCTCAGTGATACTCTCTTTTCTTTGAACTTCTTTCGTATTATCAGTAAAATCTACATAGCTTTACATTTCTATTTTGTCTCCTTAAGATTTTAAATTCCTTATGAGAAGGAATTATTTTCCAATGATCTTTTGGATCTTCCCAGCATATAATACAGTGGTAGGTACATAAGAGATGCTGAAGTATTTGATAGTTCCCTTAACTGAAAGATTTTTCAAGATATACTTTCTTTTAAAAAAAGAAAGAAAGCATGGAATTAACAGATGGCATGATGGTTATGTCGCTGGATTCCCATTCAGTCAACTGCAGTTCAATTTCCAGACCTGGTGGCTTAAAACATGCTGGGCGCGTGTGTGTGCATTCCCAAAATCCCAAGAGGAGAATGGAGAGGAAAAGGGATTGTGGTGTGGCCATCTCCCCAGGAAGGGTGATTTCTTGCTTTGTGTCTCTCTGGTGAGCACACATCCTATAGTAAAAATCTCTTTAAAAAAAAAAAATGAAAGAAAGAAACATAGAAATATAAACAAATTGCAAAAAAAGAGCTTGCTTTCCCCTCTTGCACAACTGCCGATTATAGATAGGTACCACTTTTTGATTGTTTGGAGGTTATTTGGTTTGGGGGGAGAGGGTATCTTTCAATTGCTAAGGAAATTTATCCAAAGAAGGAATTGTTAGCATGACAGCAAGCTGTTTACTTACAGTTTACTCTCTTACAGATACTGCAGAAGAAGAGGCTGGGTACGGTCCACACTCATCATGTCTGTTCCACAAACGAGTACTTCTAAAGGGAAAGTCATGCTTAAAGAATACAGTGGGCGCAAGATTGAAGTAGAGCACATTTTTAAATGGATAACTGCTCATGCAGCTTCTCGGATCAAAACCATTTATAATGCTGAACATTTGAAAGAAGAGTGGAATAGAAGTGATCAGTATTGGGTGAAAATATACCTATTTGCTAACCTTGACCAACCCCCAGCCTTCTTCTCTGCACTAAGTATAAAATTTACTGGAAGAGTTGAGTTTATTTTTGTTAATGTAGAAAATTGGAACAACAAGAGTTATATGACAGATATTGGTGTATATAACATGCCATCATACATACTTAGGACTCCTGAAGGAATTTACAGATATGGAAACCACACAGGCGAATTTTTATCCCTTCAGGCCATGGATTCATTTTTACGCTCATTACAACCTGAAGTAAATGACCTGTTTGTCTTGAGCTTGGTCCTAGTTAATCTTATGGCTTGGATGGCCTTATTCATTACACAGGGAGCCACCATAAAGCGATTTGTGGTTCTCATAAGCACTTTAGGGACATATAATTCTCTGTTAATTATTTCCTGGCTACCTGTGTTGGGCTTTTTACAGCTCCCTTACTTAGATAGCTTTTACGAATATAGCTTAAAATTGTTGAGATATTCCAATACAACCACATTGGCTTCATGGGTCAGGGCAGACTGGATGTTCTATTCTTCACACCCGGCCCTGTTTCTCAGCACGTACCTTGGACATGGCTTACTAATTGATTACTTTGAGAAGAAAAGAAGACGCAACAACAACAACGATGAAGTCAATGCCAATAACTTAGAATGGTTATCAAGTCTGTGGGACTGGTACACCAGCTACCTCTTCCACCCAATTGCTTCTTTTCAGAACTTTCCTGTAGAATCGGACTGGGACGAAGACCCTGACTTATTCTTGGAGCGGTTGGCTTTCCCTGACCTTTGGCTTCACCCTCTGATACCAACTGATTACATAAAAAACTTACCAATGTGGCGATTTAAATGTCTTGAAGTTCAGTCTGAAGAGGAAATGTCGGAGGGGTCTCAAGATACTGAAAATGACTCAGACAGTGAGAGCACAGACACTTTTAGCAGTGAGAAGGAAATATTTGAAGGTAAACAAAACATAGTTCACAATTCTCCAGGAAGAGCAAGTCACTGTGATGCTGAGGCTTGTTCGTGTGCCAATAAATATTGTCAGACCAACCCATATGAAAGGAAAGGGAGGTCATATGGATCCTATAACACTAATGAAGATATGGAACCTGATTGGTTAACTTGGCCTGCAGATATGCTGCACTGTACTGAATGTGTTGTTTGCCTAGAGAATTTTGAAAACGGATGTTTGCTAATGGGGTTGCCTTGCGGTCATGTGTTCCATCAGAATTGCATTGTGATGTGGTTGGCTGGGGGCCGACACTGTTGCCCTGTTTGCCGGTGGCCTTCTTATAAAAAAAAGCAGCCATGTGCACAGCACCAGCCCTTGTCAAATGATGTCCCATCTTAACCATGTGCAATTTGTCCTTTATAAGCTTTGAGTATCTTACAGCTTGCCTTTTTAATGTTAGTCACAATGTTTTTGTGGTTTGACGTTTAGTTTTAATGTTTAGTGCAGTGGCAGGAAATACACATTATGCTAATGTTGATGACAGAATTTATTTGGTTGCCTTGTGTGTCAATTGAATGCATACTTAATTGTAAAAATTTTTATTTACAACATTGGAAATTCAGAAGTTACTGTTTTTTGTAAGCACAAAAGAAGTATAATAAAAATTTATCCTAGCAAGACTTTCCAAGATAGGATGAAATTCTAATGGAATTGAGCCAGTTTCTTATCCTAATTGTTTCCTCCCTTTTTACAATCTCTGTCCAGCACCTCTTGGTTAAATAATGTATGCTCTGAGATGAAATTTAAACAGACCTATGAAATAAATTATTTTAAAACCAAAAGAGTACAGATTTTCCAATGTTAAATCATTTTTGATAATGTAGCTAAATGCTGTAGATGTTTTACTGGTTTGTTAATTTCACAGATACAGATACATCAAACATAAATCTTAACTCATGAGGAGAAACAAACTATCTTGCTTACACTGATGGTCTAGAGATGATGTTAGTCTACCTTTTATCTCCGTTGGCTTTGATGGGCAAGATTTCATGGTGTTTTTTTTTTTAAGTATTGCATAATTAATATTTAGCACATCTATCAAAATAAAATCAACTCTACATTATTACCCATGTATATATTATGTTTTTCTTCATTTTAGAATTTTTCAAAACTACAGAAAAGTTATAAAATAGTATAGTGAACATCCCTTTCTCTTTATGTAATTCATCAAGTGTCCACATTTTGTTCTATTTGCTATATGTCTTCTGTGTGTATACTTATCTTTCTTTTCTTTTGTCTCTTTCTCTTCCTTCCTTTCTTTCTGCTGATCCTTTTGAAAATAAACTTCATTATAATCTTCACCCCTACTCATACCATCACGTATCTCTCAATAACAAGAGTGTTTTCTTACATAACCATCATACTGTTACAATACCCAAAAAATTTGACATTGATTCAGTAATATCTAATATATAATCCATATTTTCCAGTTGCTCCCCAAATGTACTTTATATCTTTATATGTTTTTGTTTTGATTGTTAGAGGGCATGTGTACTTACTGGAGAGGGGGAGAAAAAAAGGAAAGTGAGTAAGCATGCACCATAGGGCAGGGTTACTCCCTTCTCCATCTGTCCCTTCTTTTGGGATTTTGGGCACACATGCACACATCCCCAGTGTGTTTTTCAGGCCTCCAGGTCCTGAATTGAACCACACAGTCCACTATGTGTATCTAGCTGCCTTAACCATCACGCCTCAGGCTGGCCCTCTTTTCTTTTTATTGTGTGGGTTGCATTCACTTTTCTCTAGAGAAATTCCTTTTTTCTGACACTAACATTTTCTTAAAGTACAGGCCAGTTGGCTTATAGAATGTTTTACATTCTGGATTTGTATGAGTGCTTCTTTCATGATTAGATTTAAATGGAAGAATATTGCCTGAATGATTTCCGGGTACTATGACATCAGGAGGTGTGTGGTGTTAGTTTGTCCCATTGTTTTATGATACTAAGTTTAGTTAGAATGATATCTGCCATTATCTTTTTTTTTTTCTTTCTTGCAAGTAACTATGTATTTACCAGCAATTTGAGGCGGACACAAATGAACAGGAATACTTGGAGGATGATGCCGACTGAAAACATTTCAATGTATTCACAGTCCAGTCAGAATATTATGGTGCTATGTAGTATAAACAGTTGTTCAGTGATATTTCCATTTATTTCACTTTCAGTATTAAAATTTTTTTCTATCTCATACATGATTGAACACATATTTTGCTTTAAAATTAGCAGTCACGATTGAAGAAACAATTATTTATTTTTCTAATCAAGTGACCAAGCTGCCAAATCTTAAGGCTTCAACAAAAGTTTCATTGTATTATTTTCATTTAACAACAAGACCTTCTAATTTGATTATCCTTGGTATATAATGGTTTTGTTTCTCCGGTGGTTTCCATTTGCCTAAGTCGTGATCGACAGTTTAACCTGGTGACGACTGCTTCCAGGTGATTCTGTCAGATGAATCCTCACTTCCAGTGCAGTAGCTGTTGGCACACTTTCACTGATAGTCCATCCATGTCCATCCATCCAGGCCCCTATCGTGGCTGCCCAAGGAGTCCTGCTTTGGCTACCAGGGCTTCATTCTGCTGAATATGATATTCCTGGAATCTCATGGGTATTCTTTGTGTCATTTTTAGATACTTCTGTAAGCAATGTTCTGAACAGGTAATCTCTTCAGGTTTTTCTTCTCTTGTTGTAAAGTCCTTAACACAGTCCAAAAAGCTTGTTTCTGTAAGTTTATTGTAGGTTCCAAGAAATTCCCTAAACTGATCTGATCAGATTCTGGTATCTGTGCAGGCACATTCTTGTGGTATGTTTATTAGTCACCTTTTCTGATGCATGCGTTTCCTTTCTGTTCTGGGAAAGTAGCTGTCCAACCTTTGCTTGAATATCGTCAATGAGGCCCATTTTCTTACTTAGGCGCAAGCTGTGGCATCTGACACCAGTACGAGGCTAATGGGCTCCACCACGGGCGGAGTCTAGGAGCAGTGAGGGTCCAGGTCGGGGAGGGCGCCGCAGCTGCTGGGTGGCATGGTGATATCTGCCATTATCTTGCATTATAAGATACTCTTATACTTTATAATTAAGAAGGAACCCTTGGGAGGCCAGCAGGTGGCGTTGTGGCTAAGGCACTGAACTCTCCCCAATGACTGGCTATGGTTTGAGTCCCAGACCTGGTGGCTTACTTTCTCACTTTCCTTCTCTTTCTGTATCTTTCTCTGGTCAAATGAAAATAAACTAATGAATAAATAAATAAATAATTCTTTAAAAAAAATTAGGAACCCATGAGATCATGTGAATATCTTGCTTAACAGTTTTTAACCCAATGGTTTTAACATTCACTGATGATTTTTTGCTTCAGTCAGCTATTAAAGAGGACTTACAGCATGGGGATTTTTCTAATTCCATCCTTTATTCTACATTTATTAACTGGCATTTTTTTCTTTCACACTTTGAATATCACTATGGACTCAAAGATAATTTTATATTTTCTATGTTGATTATTCTTTTTGATACTCAAATCCTCTCTAATTTGATTATTAGCAGCCCCTATAAGCAGGTTCTTATGTCCTATTGACATATCCTATTAGTCTTGAAACTCTTGTTTGCTTTTTGACACAAGGTATTCCAGTCTCATTTTGTACTTTACTTGACCCAGCTCAGTAAAATTAGCTATTTCTTCAAAGTGTTCAAATTTCATGATAGACTTTTATTATTATTATTTAGATTTTTGCTACAGGGCACATGTGCTCACTGGAGAGACAGAAGAGAGACAAAAAGTGAGAAATCATTCCCAGGGAGGATGGCCATGTTGCAGTCCCTTCTCTTCCATTCTCCTCTTGGGATTTTGGGCACACATGCACATGCACCCCGGCACAATTTTTAAGCTGCTGGATCCAGGATTCAAACCACGGTTGACTGCATGGGAGTCCAGCAACTTAATCATTATGACATCTGCTGGTCCAGTGGTAGACTTTTAAAATACTTCATTGACTACCTCACAGAATGGTAAGAAAGTAAGTTTATCACTGGTCTCGTCTGTGGCATGGTAGTGAAGGTGACTGGATCCCACGTGGCTGACTATGTGGTTCAAGCCGCAGACTGGGCGCTTGAGAAACACTGGGGGTCTGTGTGTGCATGCTCCTAATCCCAAAAGGAGGGTGAGATGGAGGAGGAGGGATTGCAGCATGACCATTGCCCATGGGGGGGCTAGGGTGTTTTCTTCCTCTCTGTCTTTAGGGAGTGTGTGTCACACTTGCCAAACCATAGCTATATGTCCAGATGTGTGGCTGTCTGCTGGACAGCTACTCTTGGATGCTTTCAAGTACTTCGTAATTCTAAAACAGCTTTTCATTGTCTCTCCACCCCCAGTGCTCCTCCTAAGCTCCTGGTTACAGGAAAATATAGAACTTTTTGAAAGACAAAATTTTTTCCAGCATCCTGGAGCACACTCTACTGTGGAGATCACTAGCCCGAAGATGAGCAGTCTCTAACACTGGCTTTTGAGGCCCTTCATAACCTGTTCCTGGCTTACCTCTCAGCCTCCAGTTGATATTCCACACTGCTCGTCCCCCCAGGCTCATGTTCTCATTTTTTTCCACTTAATATTTTTATATCCCCTCTACTTGGTGGTCTTCTCCTTTCTCTCTGATCTTCCTGGCTAGATCCCACTTTCTCTAGGAATTCTGAACCTTCTTACCTATCCTCTCCTTCCTTACTAGGCTTATAAAAGGACAAAAATCACCATACAGTGGACACTCGGGTGGATGTCACCTCACTCGAGTGATTAAATTGGAGCACCAACAATGGAACAAATTGATAGGTGCCCTTCTGTATCCCAGTGATAGCTTGTACCTGCCTGTCATATGTCAGCTGCTTTGAATTAAAACTGTATTATGGGATCCAGCAGGTGGCATGGTGGTTAAGGCACTGGACTCCCACATGGCTGAGCATGGTTTGTGTCCTGGACCTGGCAACTTGCTTTCTCACTCCTTCCCCCAGCCCCCCCATCTCTCTCTGATGAGAGTGCATGCCCTATAACAACTTAAAAAAATTTTTTTAACTATTATTTCTTTTTCAGAGGAGTTCCTTTATGGTAGGAACTGTGTTTTATCCACCTAAGTATCCACAGTGCATAGCATAAGATAGACATAATACATTTGAATGTTAGACATGCAATTAAAATACTATAGTGAGGTCAGGAGGAATATAATTTTAGGTCTCCAGGTGAATTTAACTCATCCCTTAATTGTTAAATCTAACAAACAATAGTTCTTTTGTCAGATTTTCCTGGAGTTGGAAAATTGAAGGAAATATTTAAGATGGACAGATTCTAAACTCTTTTTTTAACTATGTTTGAAAAGAAAGTTTGGGGTGCCAGCAGGTGATTCAGTGGTTAAGGATGCCGGGCTCCCACATGACCAACCATGGTTCGAGTCCTGGACCTGGTGGCTTGCTTTCT